TAACTATAACAGAATGAAAACAGCAAGCAAGTTTAGCATTTACTGGAAGTATGGTGGCCCATGGCCAGACTTTCTTTGGGTCCGGGGACAAATTAAGAAATAGTGTGTGGGGGGGTGCCTGGGTGGCGCAGTCGGTTAAGCGTCCGACTTCAGCCAGGTCACGATCTCGCGGTCCGTGAGTTCGAGCCCCACGTCGGGCTCTGGGCTGATGGCTCAGAGCCTGGAGCCTGTTTCCGATTCTCTGTCTCCCTCTCTCTCTGCCCCTCCCTCGTTCATACTCTCTCTCTGTCCCCAAAAAATAAATAAACGTTGAAAAAAAAATTAAAAAAAAAAAAAAGAAATAGTGTGTGGGGATATAGAATTTATTTGGTGAGTGGTGTCTCTTCTTATAACCCCAATCTGAAAGTCAGCCAGCATGCAGCCCTGGGCTTCCCAGACCTGGGCAAGACCTCACTCCGGACTGTTGGATCACCTGCCATGGAATGAACCCTCAGGAGGCCCAGAGAGGCCCTGGGGAGACGTTTCCATTCACTTGTAACTTTATCTTTGACACAACTTACTCCCTCTCTTGTCTTCAAACCCACGCTGGCCTCTATGTTAAATTCAGCGAAGTGTTTTTTGTGCATTTATCTCATTCATCTCTCTAAGGTAAGGAAATGTATCCCCATTTTTAGATGAAGCGTATAAAGATTGTGTGGTTTATCCAAATTCACATCGCCACTCTACTTGTTTAAACGCTTTCACTGCAAAGTCAAGATTTAAACCCAAGATTATTTGAAAATAATGTCATACACAATCCCAGTTAAGTAAGCTGTCTCTTAATTAACAGTCTCTTATTTAGGAACATAAAGGATATTTCTGAAAACTACCTTTCAAATCATACCTCATTTTCTTCTTTTGCTTTACATGTAAATGTTTATATTTACCTGTGTTTTTGTTCCAAATGATAAATGGTCCCCAGATATTCAGACTGAACGTTTGGAATAAATGAACAGTACAGTATATTATACGATAAAAAATTTTAAATGCACAAAGTACCTTTATTAGATCACAAATTGAGTTTGTAGGCAATGGGCCACTTTTTTTTTTTTCAACGTTTATTTATTTTTGGGACAGAGAGAGACAGAGCATGAACAGGGGAGGGGCAGAGAGAGAGAGGGAGACACAGAATCGGAAACAGGCTCCAGGCTCTGAGCCATCAGCCCAGAGCCCGACGCGGGGCTCGAACTCATGGACCGCGAGATCGTGACCTGGCTGAAGTCGGACGCTTAACCGACTGCGCCACCCAGGCGCCACGTGTGGGCCACTTTTTTATTTTGTTTTTTTTTTCACTTCACCCTCACTACACGTTTTTTATCTTCTTCGAGTTTAGTCACCGTGTAGAACTAAATTTTTTAGTTCCTTTTCTCCTTGTTTGCTCCGGCAACTCCTAAACCCCCAAGAAATGTGATAGCTACTTGAATTTCCCCAACAGGCAGTCTCTGTATCCTGTGTTAGCAATATACGGCATCTAAGACATTTTCTACAGAGTTTCTATGTTCTTCCACTGGAAGAAATCTGGAAGGCACACTCTGCCTCATCAGCGACACAAAAGTGATTTGATGCTTTCCTTCAAGATTGCTTTGTACTCCGCTATGTAACATTCACCGTCTAAAAATAGTCTTTTCTTAAACCACGTTTGCACGTTCCATATCATTCCCACCTTAATCAGGTGAAAGCTTTGTCCTAGAATTGTGCTTGTCAAACTGAGCCCCGTCATGTAGTAATCAAATAGTAATTCAAAAGCAGGTGCTAATTAGAATAGAAATCCTTCCACTTTCTAGATAAACAGGAAGCATATTGTGTTTAATGGAAGTTCTGATTTGTGTTTTTAAATTTTTTTTTTCAACGTTTATTTATTTTGGGGACAGAGAGAGACAGAGCATGAACGGGGGAGGGGCAGAGAGAGAGGGAGACACAGAATCGGAAACAGGCTCCAGGCTCCGAGCCGTCAGCCCAGAGCCCAACGCGGGGCTCGAACTCACGGACCGCGAGATCGTGACCTGGCTGAAGTCGGACGCTTAACCGACTGCGCCACCCAGGCGCCCCTCTGAGTTGTGTTTTTACCTCAGCTGTAGGCGTGAATATGAAAAGACCGTCCATGTTGAGAAATGTTAAACTAAATGTTGTAACCCTTAAACTGAAAAATGGGATCCCCACTTGAATCTCCCCAGCAGACTGCTTCCTTTCCCTGTGTCTATAGTATATGGCATCTCGCAGGTCTTCTACATAAAGGGTTTATCTTTTCCCTCTGGAGGTCTCTGAATGTTCTGGAGTGAACTGTCCCCTCTGTACCAGCATTACAGGTCTGAATTCATGGGTGCCAAGTCTATGCCTGCTGAATATATTTCAGCAAACCCCACGTTTCTAGCTATCCCATGTAACGAACGAAATAGAGAGGAAATGGCAAAACTCTTCAGATGCGTTCTTGTCCAACGGCTGAGGCCTTACCACGGCCACATATTTGATTTAACGGTGCACCAGAGACATACAGTGGATTTCGTCAAAGCTCCCCTACACAAAAAATAAAATGTGACGAATATTTCCTCTGAGAACCTGTATTTCCCCAATATGTTCGTTTCCTGGTTTGTAAGACTAGAGAGGGAATGTGTGAAGGATCTTTTGAGGTTTCAAGGGCCAAGCAGCCCAGTCAGAGGTTCCTGGTTTTGGCAAAGGTTTGCTGGGCGTAGGGCAAACACATTTTCCTTGGCCAGGTTACAAGCAGCTTTCATGTATAGAGAAGTCATCTTCCTGTCCCCCACAGGAGTGTCACCTCACCGCAACATATGTAGCTGTATTCTGCCAAAAAGGGGGCAGATTTTTAATCTTGGCTTTCGAAAAGAGGTTCCATCTGTAGCTCTTGATCTCTTCTATAAACTCTCCAGTTTCTTTTAAAAGAATGGTATGTATCTTCAGGAGAACTCACGTGCCTGCTGAATGTTTAAACGGTTCTGATAGGTTTTATTTCGAGAAACTGTGTCAGACTCCTTAATTATAAAAAGAGAGAAAGAAGAGAATAGCTACCTCATATTCTCTCGGTGCCCAGAAAGGCAGTGCCGGGAAGCCAACCAGTGTGGTTCGTTCACTGCTGAAAGGTCACGATCACCACGGCACATTGGGGGGTAAAGAGCGAGTGGAAACGTCGACGCTGTAACACATCATTGGAAATGATGCATCAAGGATAGGTATCTTAGGGGAATTTAAATCCAGTTTACATATTAATTCATATTTTAAGACAATCAAGGAGTTGGGGGGGGAGACAAAGGAAAATGAAGCTGGTGAACAAAAGTCATCTGATTGGTGTGAACTGAAATTGCTTTACTTGAAAATCACTCCTTGATTTTGAAAGGATTGACATCCTTTCTGTGTTTTGTTTTTTGTTTTGTTTTCCCCCAGAGAGAGGTTTCTTTTACTGAGCACTGTTTTCCTAACAGAATTTGATCTGCGGCTCTTCAGAATCCGTTACCTTGGCAACCCTTTTATTTTCTTCATCTAGAAAATTCAGAGGTAAAATAAAGTTCATGAGAACAGTATTCCTAATTTCCAACATTTTTTGAAACGTCGTAACTAAATGAACTACTTCAGAGACCAGAGTATAACATTTACTTAATTGATGTATGATTGTTTTACTGAAAAGACAGGTATCTGTTTCTTACTATAAAAAGGCTCCATGGGTTTACAATCTACTGTGGGAATGGAAGATTAAACAACTAAACAAATCAGTACATAATAATAGATGACATTAAGTGCTAAGAACAAAATCAGTTAAATATATTTTAAACAAAAAGCACTGTGATGCCCTAGTTTTTATTGGGGGGATTGGAGGTTGGTTTGGAAAACATGACATAGGAGGAAAAACCTGAAAGGAGATTTAGGACTTTTTCAGGTGAAGAGTTATTAGTTGATAGTGGGGGAAATAAAACAGCATTTGAGAAGGTTCTAGAACAGTGTGGTGCAGGGAAGATGCTGACAAAAGGTCCATGTTGACAGGACACAATGAGGAAGGGGGATAATGCTGTTAGTCATACTACGGAACAGGTCAGGGTCCAGGTAATCCAGAGACGGGTTGTATTGAGAGCTTGGCTTTTATTTTAGGGGTAAGAGAAAGCTTTGAAATGGTTTAGGGCAAGGGAAGTACCTAATTTACTTAAATTCTTAAGAGATTCCCTCCAGTCTTTTGGGAGAAGAATAAAATTGAGATGGTCAAGACAAGAGGGAATGGTCTAGATAAAAGGTGATGGTGACTCGGTCTAGGGTAATGACTGAGGAAAATTTAAAAACTGGAAGGGTTCAAGCCATTTTGCACATCAAACGCACAGGATTTGAAGATGGAATGAATAGTGGTAACGAGAGAGAATGTGTTCACAAAGGGCTGCCAGGCTTTGGGTATGAATCCCTAGATGAGTGGAGTTGCCTTTTTATGGAAATAGAGAAAGCCAAAGAAGAATTTAATATGAAGACAAAGATATTTAATTCAGATAAAAGTTTGGGGCATACACACGATATCCTACTTAATGTCTCACGTAGGTTCTTGGCTACCAATCCTGGTGTTTTGTCATAGTCTTGAAATTCAGTGAGTTTCAGGCTTCGTTGAAGATATGCGTTTTATCTTTGGTATGTGACAGATGAGCTCTTTAATGGAAAAAAACATGTTTTGTCTGTAGAGAGAAAAAATTTCCCCCAAATCTTATATTCTTGTTTTCTTTTTTTTTAATTTTTAAAAGTTTATTCATTTATTTTGAGAGAGAGAGAGAGAGTGTGGTGTGTGTGTGTGTGTGTGTGTGTGTGTGTGTGTGTGTACAAGTGGGGGAGGGGTAGAGAGAGGGGAGAGAGAATTCCAAGCAGGCCCTGCACTGTCAGTGGGGCTCAAACCCAGGAACCATCAGATCATGGCCTGAGCTGAAACAAAGAACCCGACGTTTAACCGACTGAGCCACCCAGGTGCCCCTATTCTTGTTTTCTTAATTTGCATTTGCAGAAGAAACATACCATGTGGCATCTATATTTTCTATAAAAGCAAGCAAAATGAACAGTTAAAATAATATCCCAAAGTAGAAACACCCCAAATGCCCAAGGACCAATGAATGGACAAATTGGTATATCCATATAGAATAGTATGCAGGCAGTAAAAAACAAAAATGACGCATGGTACATCACGGAGGAATCTTTTTTTTTTTTTTTTTTAATTTTTTTTTTCAACGTTTATTTATGTTTGGGACAGAGAGAGACAGAGCATGAACGGGGGAGGGGCAGAGAGAGAGGGAGACACAGAATCGGAAACAGGCTCCAGGCTCCGAGCCATCAGCCCAGAGCCCGACGCGGGGCTCGAACTCACGGACCACGAGATTGTGACCTGGCTGAAGTCGGACGCTTAACCGACTGCGCCACGCAGGTGCCCCTCACGGAGGAATCTTGAAAAAATACACTGAGTGGAAAAAGCCAGACACAAAAGGATACATACATATGATTCCAGTTATTTGAGATTGCCAGAATGGGCAAATCCGTGGAGACAGAAAGCAGATGAACCACTGCCAAGTGCTGGGAGATGGGGGAATAAGGATCAACAGGCCAGAGGGTACAGAGAGTCCTTTAGGAGTGATGAAAATATCCTGGAATTAGACAGTGGTGATGGTTGCAGAACATCGTGAATGTGCTAAATGCATAGAATTGGATGGCTAATTATAGTGTGTGTATTTTGCCACAATAATAGAGGGATCAAATAAAATATTTACTGACTAGGGGCACCTGGATGGCTCAGTGGGTTAAGCAGTCAGCTCTGGATTTCAGTTTAGGTCATAATCTGACGATTTGTGAGATTGAGCTCCGTGTCAGACTCTGCACCAACAGTGTGGCGCCTACTTGAGATTCTGTTTCTTCCTCTCTGCCCCTGCCCCCCTTGTGCACTCTCTCTCGCTCTCTCCCTCTCAAAATAAATGAATTAACTTAAAAATATTTACTGACTAAAACAGCATTTCCCAAATCACATTGCACAAGGCTGCGTGAAAAGTGCTTGGCAGAGTCTGAGTCTAATGATGCTAACTGCAGAACTTCACACAAATATCGATTTTATTCTATTAAAATCAACAGTAGTTTAGGATATTTAAAACTGAACATTTTCTATTGGAGAGGAAAAATAAATTAAAAGGAAGTTGTTCTCTTTGGGTATATGGGAGACTCCAGGAAAAAAAAGCTGCATGTTTTCTGATATTTTCGTAAGAAACCAATGTTACTACTTCAAGTTTATCATAGAGACACGTAGAACATTCTGTTTCACCCTATTAAGTAAAGAGTTTATAACTAAATAGTCTGGGGTTATTTTATATCATTGCATTTTAGTCCCAGATAAACTACATCTAATGAGGCCACGTTTCATATGTTAAGAATGGGACATACCGGGGCGCCTGGGTGGCTCAGTCAGTTAAGTGTCTGACTTCGGCTCAGATCATGATCTCGCAGTTTGTGGGTTCGAGCCCATTTCAGGCTCTGTGCTGACAGCTCAGAGCCTGGAGCCTGGTTCGGATTCTGTGTCTCCCTCTCTCTGCCTCTTCTTGACTCTCTCTCTCTCTCTCTCTCTCTCTCTCTCTCAAATAAACTTTAAAAAAAATTTAAAAAAAATAAGAATAAGACATACCAGTAAGTGGGAAGTGAAATTACTTTTCATTGATCATTCAGAAAGTCATGATGTATTTCAAACCTCAAAATCTTAGTAATAGTAGTCAAAATAACATGATTATTGAAAAGACCGTATCTTTAAAGGGAAAAGAAAAACTCTTGGTGGCAGTCAGAGGAAACCAATTTCATATGACTTAGTTGATGCACATCCCAAAGGAGAGATGACTTAAAAAATGGTGCTGAGGGGCGCCTGGGTGGCTCAGTTGGTTAAGCGGCCGACTTCGGCTCAGGTCCTGATCTCGCGGTTTGTGAGTTCAAGCCCCGCGTCGCGCTCTGTGCTGACAGCTCAGAGCCTGGAGCCTGTTTCAGATTCTGTGTCTCCCTCTCTCTCTGCCCCTCTCCCGTTCATGCTGTGTCTCTCTCTGTCTCAAAAATAAATAAGCATTTTTAAAAAAATGGCGCTGAAATAAACTTACAAAAGGTTGCAAAATGTATTGAGACGTGCTGGATTATTTAGGAAACAATTCTGGCAGCATCTTTTTTCAAAAATGGATTTATTGTGATACAAGTCATATGTCATAACATTCACCAACTTGAAGTTCACCATTCACTGGTTTTTAGTAATCTGGCAGTTTGAAACCATCACTACCATCTAAACTTAGAATCATTTCATTACTCCGGAAAGGAACCTCCTACTGTCAGCAGTCACTCCCCATTTCCCCCTCCTTTTTCCTAGCCCTAGGCAGTTACTAATCAATCCACTTTCTGTAGTTGGCCGGCTCTGCTTTAAAGTGATAACCCAGGGTGGTATTTTTTATTTCTGGAGGACTTAGTATTTTAATTAAGGTCTCACCCTGGAGGTTGTGGGGAAAGGAAAAAAAAAAATCATCTGCACTTGACCTTGAGACAGTCATACTTATTTCTGGCCAGTTGTGGGGATTTCACATTTCTCTTTCTATTTGCCCCAGCTGAAATTTTTTTCCCACAATCCTTTGTTTTTTTTTTTTTTTTTTTAATCCAGCAGCTTTTTATAATATGAGTGAACAACGTTGTATCAGCCCAGGAATGTATACTTAGATTTGCTCATTTAAATTCTTTATTGCATTATAGTCGGACTAACTCCCGTATTGATTTCAGAGTTTAAACCTATTGCATAATGCATATAGAAATAATCAATGAAAGAGAAGCACATTGGTACTAAACATAATGAATCTACTCTGACTTCAGTATTTGATAAATAGTGAATGTTAGTGATCATGTAAATGTTTTTGAGTGAGTGAATGAACAGTAAAATGAATGCGTAAATAAAAATATGGCAAACTGTTTGTATACAGATAGCATAACATATGTTTTTAATTACTACCAGCTATAAATGCTCAGGTCTGTGCTTCTTTTGTGGTTCAGAACATTAAGTGTTCAATGCATCTGTGCATTCAGTTAAGAACTCCGCCAGCTCTGATAAAATGTATCGTGGATGTCAGGTGAGGGTAAGATACCTCAGGGAGTTCATAGCATAGAGAGAGAACACTTACACTTGAGGGACCTATGAGCCTTCACAGACATTTAAAGCTTGTTATTTGGCAGCTAAGAAATCATTGATGTTATTTGCCATGTTTGTAGGCTGCAAGTGTTAATTTAGATTTCATAAATTTATCTTTAATTTTCCGTAGGCAGGGAGAGATTATTTGGGTGAGTTATATTCATTTAAAAAATTTTTTATCAGTATGTTATTAGTGGTTCAATTATAAACTTCCAAGTCATTTATTCCCAAGTTTGAAACTTTGTCACCTATTTATTTAATTATGGCAAAATAGATACAAAAAAAATTGAAAGATGTAGCTTTGTCTGCCTGAAATACTGGTAACAGTGTCTTTTTGCGTTTTAAAAGAAGTACAGTGTTAAATGATGTAGCAGCACAGGGGTGAAAGTCATGGACTGGGCAGTGAGGTTACCTGAGTTCAGTGAAGGACTTAGCTGTTGACCTTAAGAACGTGTCTTTAGTTCCCTCCGTGAGACTCTGTGTCAGTAAATTCAGGATAACAATAGCACCTTCCTCAAAAGTTTTTATGAGGATCAAAACAATAAATAAATAAAAAAGCCTTAATACAGGACCTGGTATAAAATAAGCTTTCAGTAAGTGTTAGCTATTATTCCTGTGTCCTAATCACTCTGAAATAGTTGCCTTTTGATCTCCCATTACTACTGTTTACATTTTACACATTCCCAGATGGCCACTTCCCACTCTAAAAGTATTGTTTTTCTGTGGCTTTCTTTCATTCCCTGCAGAAGGATCTTGATGTATATCTCTATCGCTGAATTTATCATTCTCTCTCTCCCTCTCTCTCTCTCTCTGCATTTGGTTAATGACTGAACAATTCACTACTAGTAGAACTAGTTTGATAAATATTCACTAATTTCGTTTGATTCATATGAAGAATATTTATCCTTTTCCTATAATTTTCCTAATTTATAATCTGTCTTTGATTTTTGAATTCAGTCTTAAAGCATTTAATATATTTCATCAATTTCAGAATCTTTTGAGTGTATTTTCGTAAAATGCCTCTAGAGTGCCATAATGTGAAAAGATAGGAGATTAAAAATAATTCCCCAAATCATGTTGTATTTCTGGTTTGTGCATCTTTTCTCAGATGCCTTCTTACAGATCTGTACATTTTGAGCATCATTAACCTGTCACTGGGAATTACGTGGGAAACGTGAAAAGTTAAAAACATATATGCAGAGGTCATTATGATTTGAGGAGAAAGTGATTTAGATTTGGGCAAAAAACAGCGTTCTTATATTCATTCTGGTAGCATTACGAAGAATAAAATTCCCTTCCTTCTGAAAGTTGTTAACCCCCCTTGTTAAAATAAAATTCTTCATATTTTAGTGATACTCAGTTTTTTATTACAAAGTGATGTATAATCTTGATAAAACAGGAAAAGCTGTGGGATGATAGATGACAAAAATTAACAACCCCACTTAGCCTCCCCAAGCCCCAGGATTCATTTCTGGACAACTAGCATTAATAATAGTAAATTTTCAGTCCTAATACTAGAAATCGGTTTATATTCATAGTCTGTCAGAATAGTTTTGGAAGTCTTTTTTCAAGAAAGAGGAAAAGACCCTCAGAATTCACAATAAGAATTATTTAGTTGGATGTCTTCAAAAAGAGGGCATTTTACACTCTTTATAGAAAGCTTCAACTTTTCACCATCTTGATGTTTTATCTTTAATGCTCAGTTGTCTTGAGGGATTATCTACGTGTAAATTACATTATTGTCTCGTCTCTTTCTATGGCCATTGTATTTCTTTAGCTTCTGTCTGTTTCATTTCCACGCAGCAAAGTCACAAAAATCACTTCCTTTTCTGAAGGAAACCATTGTCCTGAAGCAGACAGCCACTTCCAGAAAATCCACACAGGTACAGCCATCAAAAACACCTGGATGTTTTCTTCAGACCCTCACAGACTCACCAGCCTGAAGTTCCATCAGGAATCATCCACACCTTGACTGGCACATGATGGGTGCTTGCTCGTTTCTGAGTGACCGAACGTGTGAGCTAAACATTTAATTTTGCTCAGTGTTGTCTTTATCGCATACCTGCGTGTGTGTCCCAGACATCACGAGCAAGACGTGACCCCTACTGTCGAAGAGCGTAGGGTATAGCGATTTTTGTGACTTTGATTTTCTAATAAATGGAATACATGGACTGCCTTGTATAGGTTAACATGGATTTGGAAATAAAACTGATGCCGTCGCCGTTTTTAAGGGACTAAATAGAGAACTCACGGCCTCTTGGACCCTGGAGGTAGACTGCATGGTTTGTGTGTGGAGAGTTTGACTTTCCTGCTCTGCCCAGCAGAGGACAGCAAGGTGTGCTCGTTACCTTGTACTTTACATTTATGCACTAGCACCTTCATACTGTCACATGACATACAGTCACCGAAGGATGCTCCTTGTCTTTGTATATCTGAAGTATTTCCAATGTCCCTAATAGCATCAACGAAATGGTCACTTTTAGATTAGTTTGCTATTTTCTCCCTGTTGGCTCAACTGAGGCCCTCTACCAGCATCTCCTTTTTTAAAAAATT